GCAAGCTAACCAAAAGAGCATAATGGCCACTATTCCCCGGTTCTAATACCATCAACTCCTCAACAGCAATCTGTGCAATCTCAAAGTTCCTGTGAAGCTTGCATCCGCCAAGCAATGCTCCCCAAATAACAGCATTTGGTTCCAAGTTCATGGTTCTAATAAGCCTGAGAGCTTCTTCGAGCAAACCGGCTTTGCTCAATAGATCAACCATACAGCCATAATGCTCTAGTTGTGGAGGGAAATGATAATCACAAGTCATGCTCTTGAACCACTTTCGGCCTTCTTCAACAAGCCCCGAGTGAGCACAAGCACTTAGGATGCTGATGAAAGTCACCCCATTCGGTTTGATTCTCTCCCTCTTCATCTTGGAAAACATTGCTAGAGCTTCTTCTGCGTATCCATGGACTGCGAGCCCTTCGATGATGGAGTTCCAGCAGAAGAGGTTTTTATCTCTCAATTTGTAAAACACCAAAAGAGACCGCTCTAGGGATCCACATTTTGCATACATATCGATAAGAGAAGATCCGATATAGACATCGAGGTCGAATCCATTCTGCATCACATAGTAATGGATTTCCTTGCCTAAGTCAAGGGCTCCGAGATGGGCGCATGCTGAAATCACACTTGCCAAGGTCACTTCATCAGGAGGAATCTCATTCTTGGTCATCTCATTGAAGACTCCTAATGCTTCTCTGAATTTCTTGTTCTGGGAATAGCAGTTGATCATCGTAGTCCATGAAATAACATCTTTAGCAGGCATTTGATTGAATAGCAATTCAGCCGATACTACATCCCCCAATCTTGCATATCCGTCCAACAATGTGTTCCAAGTAGCAACATTCCTTCCAGGCATCAAGTCAAACAACCTCCTTGCGGAACTCAAATCCCCTGCACGAGCAAGACAAGAAACCATCGTGGTCCACGCGAAGACATCTCTCTCAGGCATTTCATCAAACACCTTGACGGAGGCACCAACTCTGTCCAAATCAAAGTAAAACTCCATCAACGTCGTGCAGACAAACACGCTCGAAGCAAGCCCATGTCTCCAAATCTGCCCATGAACTGATTCCCCAACCCTCCCACCATCGCCGCCAACAAAGCTGCAGGCTTTAACAAGAGACGAAAAGGTATAACTCGTCGGCGACAACTGAGCTCTCATCAGCTGAACATAGCACTCGAGAGCCTCAACGGGTCGACGATTCTCGACGAATCCTTTTAGCATCGCGTTGTAAACAAAAACATTCGGATTCTCCATCTGGGCAGCCGCGGAAACGGCCTGTTCCGTCGCGCCGACGGAAGAACAAGCCGTGATGAATTGGTTCATTAGAAAGCAATCTTGGGTTGCTGCTACTTTGATCATATTGCCTAGTGCCAACTCCAAATCTCTGATCTTGCAGCATTGCTTCAAGTGAGTAACTATCAAATTGGCTCGAGAAAGCATAATAATAATTGTAGGCGGGAAACAGGGAGGCTCTGAGAAATTAAGACATACACATCAAACTCGATGCACAGCAGGCTTCATATATAAATTCAGGACAAACCAAGCGGCAGAATAACATAGAGTTGGATCCTTCCTACAACAATTTCAGTAATTTTATGCGGGTCGAATCTGTAATTACCTCTGCAATTAAACAAAAAGAAATTTATTGGAGTGAGAGTCTTTGATGATGCCATAATCTGAAAGCCTGAAACTTCCTTTCATAGCTTTCTTAATTAACTTACCCTGTTCTGGTTTTTTCAGTTTATGTAATCTGAAGTGTTTTTCCATAATGTGATCCCAGACATTAAGCACTGACATCACTGGAGAATTCACAACCACATCCCACAACCAGATAACGCAATGGAAAAGTGGGCAACTTGGAAATCAACAAGGAGACTTGACTTGACTTGATGTCATCAATTATTTATCTTCCACGAATAAAGTCAATTTGACATAGGAAGATGACACATGGAAGGACTCTCACTAATTTATTGACCGGTAGCTTCGTTGTCGGTTTGCATAACACTTCAGAGAGACTAACCGGCCCCAACTGTCTCGTCGTCTTGGTTTCAACAGTTTTAGGAATGAAGACCAGAACAACGGAAAAGGCATGCTTGGCGGAAAAATGTTGTCATCTCATTAACTATCGTGCCCCAATAAGATTTGTCTGTTATGTCGTAGGATTTTTCTTGTCGTTAATAAACAGTCTCTCACTTTTATGATTATTTATAGAAGAAAGTCTCATTCTATTCTATCAAAACTCTTTTAATATCTAGCTTGAGGTCCATAATGCATAGTCTGCCACTTCTATGAAGTTTTTTTAATGACTTTCTACTAATTATTTATCTTCCACAAATAAAGCCAATTTGACATGGGGAGATGATATATAGAAGAACTCTAGCTTATTTATTGACATATAGTTTCGTTGTCGACTTGTCGGTTTGTAGAATACTTGACAGAGACTGATCAGTCTCAACTGTTTCATCGTCTTAACTTCTACAATTTTAGAAACGAAGGCAATTTATGTACGATTCAAGCTACGGAAAAGACATACTAAGCGGGAAAATGCTAGTATAGCTTTCGTCACCTCATTAACTATTGTGCCCCAATAAGATACATCTGTTATGTCGCCCAAGATTTTTCTTGTCGCCAATATGTTTGAAGTTGATAAAAGGTATTAAAAAACATTCCATTCTCTTGCTTGCAAGTTTTCGACCATTTATTGTTTGTGACAGCTGAAAGTCAAATTAAAGAAGTTGAAGGCCTGCAGATGGAGAAAGATGGCCAGTGGTTCAGAGTTCCCATCGTTCCAGGTGAATGAAGAGCGCCCATTAATTGCTGTTAGAGATGGTGAAATCATGAAGAAAGTCTGCAACTCCGTTACTATCAGAGTGGGAAGAGAATCATTTCAAGTGTTTGTCGATAAAGTCTGAAACTTTCCAGCTTTCTGAACTTACTCTGTTCTGGGTTCTTCAGTTTCTGTTATCAGTCTGAAGTTTTATGTCATGTTCTCCATTTATATGAAGAATATGAAAAGCTTTCTGTTCCATGGCAAAATCTGAGCTCAGGTTCTACTGAATCAATGTACGAACCAACAAAGGAACCACTCCACCGATCAGTCAGCTGATCTCGGAGGTCGCCATGGAAACCATCGTTGTCCACGCTAAGAAATCTCTCTCAGGCATTTCATCAAACACCTTGTCCGAATCTCTCCAAATCAAGGTAAAGATAAGAATAACACCTCACCTTGTCAGTTCCTTGCATGCTTTCAACCTTGTTGTAACAACCACCAGAATTGCATGCATGTTCTATACGTGTATTCTGAATCCTTCAGAACCCTAGCACCCCTTTTAGCCCATTTGTCAGTCTTCCATGCAAAACCTGAAACTGCCCCTTATTGCCTTATCCACATCCCTCTATAAAAGCCAAACCAAACCCATTTTCCATTCATGCAAAACATTCATAATCAGCTATTTAAGCACATCAACCATGGAAGCTGTGAAAGAAATTCCCATCAGTGGCAGGAACCCAGAAGCCAAATACATCCGTGAAGGCCACCATGAACACCCTTCTCTGCTTCCACTGATAGACATTCCCATCATTGACATTGGCCAGCTCACTGCTCCTTCTGAAGCTGATCAAAAGATCCGCTCAGCTCTCAGCACATATGGCTGCATGATTGTCTGCTTTTTTCTTCTTATTCTTCTTCTTCCCTTTTCCTTCTTCTGACGTTTCATTTTGACTGCTCAACGTTTGATATGAGACTGGATGATGGTTTCTATGTGTACAGGTAACAAACCATGGAGTGGAGAGTTGGTTTCTTGACAAATTGAGGACGCTGTTCAAGCAATTCGTGGCGCTGCCAGAAGAAGAGAAGCTCAAATGGAAGAGGGAAGTTGATGGGTTTGAAGGGTATGGCAGTGACCCTGCCCCTAACGATTTCCTTGCTCGTGATTGGGGCGCCAGATTGAGGATCACTATTCATCCCGAGGAGTTCAGACAGCTGAAGTATTGGCCTGAGAATCCACCAGAGTTCAGGTTTTATGAAGTTTCCGGGGCTTATTCGGGTAGTTTTGATTTTTTTACTTGAGCAACAAGCAATTGATTTCATGAAAAACCGATGCAGGGAAGTTGTGGATGAATACAGCAGCAAGTTGGTAACAGTGTATAAAGTCATCCTGAAGGCACTAGCCAGGTCAATGAATCTGAAAGAGACCAGCTTTCTGCACAAGATGGGGGAGCCATGGATAATGTATGCAAGATTCAACTTCTACCCTTCCTGTCCGAGGCCAGATCTCGTCTTCGGCCTCAAGCCACACTTCGATTCGACGGTGCTCACCATTCTCCTGCAGGACAAAGAACTTGAAGGCCTGCAGATTCTGAAAGATGGGCAGTGGTTCAGAGTTCCCATTGTTCCAGATGCCCTTGTCATCAATGTTGGTGAGCAGCTAGAGGTATAATGTAGTAAATCATTCACAGTGATTAGTTTGGTGGAGGTAAATTAGCTTTGTTGCTTTCATTTCCTTTAACATGTATGAATGGAGAAAATATGTGGCAGATACTGAGCAATGGAGAGTTCAAGAGCTTGTACCACAGGGGAATGGTGGATTCAGAAAGGGAGAGAGTTTCTCTGGCTGTGCTCTCTCTTTCTAACCCGCAATCGGGAGTCGAACCGATTGAAGAGCTGGTGAATGAAGAGAGGCCATCGTTGTACAGGAAGGTGATATATGAAGAAACCACTCATTTCGATTACTATAAGAGTGGGAGGACACTCATCGATGATGCCAGAGTTTGAAGTTCTCTTGGATAAAGTCTGGAACTTTTTCACTTTTAAAATTTGCCCTGTTCCAGATTTCAACCTCTGAAATCTGAAGTTTGTGTTCTGCTACATGTATGTGAAAAAATAAAGCCTTCTGGAGGCAAGTTCCAGCTTCCAGTGTCTGGAAGCTGAAGTTTATGTTATGCGCCATGTATCAGAGAAAATAAAGACTTCTGTCGAACCCAAAATCTGAGTTCTGGTTCTAACACATCTTTTGAACATCTGAATGAATGAAAGAAAGAATGAAAACCAGAGAATTCGATGCACTGCAACCAAGTAGTTGATCTCAAAGGAGGCCATACCATTCTTCCGCAATTCGATACCCAAGTGCAGCACTCAAGCTACAGCTACAGAAAAAGCACAGTAGCTCCTCCATGGTACTCCTAACCAAGTCTCAGTAAACTAGGAGGCAAGGAAAAGTAACGGCAAAGACAGTCACACCTCAAATAGAAAAGAGGAATTGGCAAGACCAAAAAGATGTCACTGAAAATGAGCTCAAAAGATGAATGAAGACACTGGGATTACACGAAAAATGTAAATGTTCTTTCCTGCTAATGAAGAAACATATAAAACTAAGTCACAACTCTCTTCTGGCCTTCATCACGAGGATTCGACATAACCAACATTGTTCTTCTCCTCGTCATACATATCTTCGTCGTTATCGACCTCTTTCCCCCCATGTGGGAGAAGAACATACAAACCCGTTTGTTTATCTCAAAAGACTTGTCAAAGACAACGAACAGCTACAGACTACATATAATCTGAACTATCTAAGGAATGAAGGCTATGGAAGGATGGGAGATTTGGGGGGAGGGGAAGAGGGTAAACAAAAGAGGAACCCAGACAGCAAGCACCTTGATGCTCCTCTGGTTGAATACTTCACCATTGGTGTTTTCCTTAAAGCTTGAACAGCAAGCCACCATGAGTGGCGAAGAATGGGGCAAAGACGAGGGACTCGACAGCCATGAGCTTGATGAGGATGTTGAGAGATGGTCCAGATGTGTCCTTCAACGGGTCTCCAATGGTGTCGCCAATGACTGCTGCCTTGTGTGGGTCTGATCCTTTTGGGCCGAGCGATCTGGCATGTTCCGATGCACCAGCCTGGAACAACATCCCAAAATTCAAGAATTTACTCAAATTCAATGACAAATTGGAGCAAGCATTGTAACAGCCGAAAGGAAAAGGAGGAAATGTATTATTACCTCAATGTACTTCTTGGCGTTGTCCCATGCGCCACCAGTGTTCGATGCAGAGATAGCAATCTGCCGTGTACACAAATGCAAAACCCACGTTAAGAACAGGTCAAGCATCGAGAGCTAGTCAAGATCAGCAATATAGGAATCTGATATCTAGCATTTACCTGCACACCAGACACGAGAGATCCGGCAAGGACACCGGAGAGGGTCTCAACACCAAAGAAGATGCCGACAACGAGGGGAGTGAGCATGACAAGTGCACCAGGTGGGATCATTTCCTTGATAGAGGCATCAGTGGAGATCTTGACGCAGGTGGCATAGTCAGGCTTAGCAGTACCTTCCATTAGTCCAGGAATGGTGTTGAACTGCCTACGAACCTCCTCAACCATCTTCAATGCTGCACTTCCTACAGACTTCATCGTCATGGCAGAGAACCAGTACGGAAGCATTGCCCCGACGATCAACCCAATGAATACTTTCGGTGTCAACACATCGACCGTTGTGATGGAAGCGCGGCTGACGAAGGCGCCAAAGAGTGCCAGTGAGACGAGAGCAGCAGAACCAATAGCGAAACCCTGTGAATTTGGCATAATCAAAGAGTTGAGTAAACTAGAATACATAGCAGATGATGACAGTCAAGAATCAGCTCGTCTCTTCTGCGAGAGAAAGCAGATATCTGTAATCTATACAGGTGAAAGGATATGGTTCTCAAGACAGCACCTTCAGTGAATCAAGATAAAGAGGTAGGAACGTTCTAAATCTTGGTTAATCGAAATTTCAATCAAACTTAATACGCAATATTCTGGTTTTAGTTTAACCAAACCCCGGGAAATTTAATCGGATTCGATAACCATTATCCACCCCCTAAAAATGTCGTACAAAATTAAATATGTAGTTATCATTCCCACTTTTGTCATTTAACTAGAGAAATGGAAGGGTCACGCATGTAAACAAGTGGTCCAGGGCAGTTGAAGGAATTGGTTCCTCGTCTAACTCATCGGGAAGAAAAGGAGGAATAAATCACAGCTTTCTCTTTCAAAATGAAAAAAATCATTCCAGCAAAAATCCGAAAGTAAAGTCGGGCAGCTAGTCCATGTCATCCATCCCCTAGACGTGTGTGCCACACTAATCGTGGTCCCATGGGCAAAAAAATCATTTGGCACCACCCACCAACACGTCAGATGAAGAACAAGAAGATAACTTCGAAAACCAACAGAAGAAAAGAAAAGAGATAAGAGATCTTTTTAAAGAAGATTCCAACCTTGCCAATAGCAGCAGTGGTGTTTCCTGCAGCGTCGAGGGCATCAGTTCTCTCTCGGATTCTGTGGCTCATTCCTGCCATCTCAGCGATACCTCCAGCATTGTCACTAATGGGGCCATAAGCATCAATGGCCAAGCCAGTGGCTATGGTGCTCAACATTCCAAGGGCAGCTACTGCAATTCCATACATAGCAGCAAAGCTGAAACTAACAAAAATGCTCACTGCAATGGCAAAAATGGGGATGATGACAGATTTGTATCCCAATGCAAGCCCGAAAATGACATTAGTGGCAGCTCCAGTTCGGCAAGAATCAGCAACGTCTTGAACAGGGCTGGGGAAGAAAAGAAACCGAAGACAAGAAAACTAGTGTTATTACTTATTACAGATTCCCGAAAGAAAGCATACCAAATTGAACCTTAGGCTTTTGAAGTTTTTTTACCTGTATGCATTGCTAGTATAGTACTCAGTCACAAATCCAATAATAAGTCCAGCCCATAGACCAACAGCAACACACAAGAACAGTTGCCTGAATGGACAGAGATTTCAGTGAGAAAAATCTTCAGACATTTAGCATAAACTTAAGAATATTTGAGCTGACAGAAACATACCAGTTGGCCACATCCTTCTGTGTTCCGAAATTGAAGATAGTGAAGGAAGCTGGCAGAGCGATCCAGCTAACAACAGCAATCCCGACGGTCATGAGAACAGTTGAGATGATGAGCTGCCTTTTCAGAGCAGGCTCGATTTCTTTTACAGCCTTGATCTCGAAGAAATCAGTGGCAAACAAAGTGGTGATCAAACAAACAACGATTCCTACTGCACTGATAATGAGTGGATATAGCATGGCTGTGAACTCATGATTAATCCCGAAAGATGAGATGGATGCAACCACTAGAGCAGCACATGATGCCTCGGCATATGAACCGAAAAGATCGGACCCCATACCAGCAATATCACCAACATTATCTCCAACATTGTCAGCAATCACCTGCAAAGAAGAAGAAGAAAAGAACCAGAGTAAACAACGATATAATCACAACTCATCACAGTTCATAAGCAAGGCTTAAAATATTTAGTAGTTGCTCACAGCTGGATTTCTGGGGTCGTCCTCTGGAATGTTCCTCTCAACTTTCCCAACAAGATCAGCACCAACATCAGCAGCTTTGGTGTAGATTCCACCACCAACTCTACCGAAGAGAGCCATGGAAGATCCACCAAGACCATAACCAGTAATAGCTTCGAAAAGGCCACCCCAATCATCACCATAGTAAAGCTTGAAGAGATTGATGGTAATGTAGAGAACCACCAGACCATTTGCAGCCAAGAGAAAACCCATGACTGCACCAGATCTGAAGGCCACAATGAAAGCCTTTCCGACTCCTTTCCTTGCCTCGAGTGTTGTCCTAGCGTTTGCATAGGTAGCAATCTTCATCCCAAGGAACCCAGAAACCACAGAAGTCACTGCACCGAGCAAGAAAGATATGGTGCTGAAAGCAGCAGTAGCCAGGGCCGGCTTGCACATCTTGGTAGCGTCATAGGTGCAAACCTGGTGACTTGTGCTAAATCCATCAACGGATCCCAAGAACACAAAAATGAGGACAGCGAAGGCAACCATGAAGATGCCGACATACTTGTACATAGTGAAAAGGAAGGAGGTTGACCCTGCAGCATAAAAGACCCAATTAGTCAATCCAGCTAAGCATACTGAAGAGTAATATTCTGCAACAGAAATAAGTGAAATGACAGGAACTGCAGAAACTAACAAACACATGCAAGTCTCCTTCGGAAGGAGAAGTGCCCAAGTACAACATTAAAACTAAGATGAAAGTTCAATTTTTATATTGTGCCTCCACCTTCTCAAATGCAAGATTCCATCACTTGTATAACATAGTCAAGATAATATAGTATAGTATGAAGACCAAAAAAAGATTTGAGGAATCTACAGCGTTCATTTTATATCTCAGAAAGAGAAACCGATGGAAAGGATGTTTCCCATAATTCACAGATCAATGAGGATGCATAAAAAAGTAGACTTTAACGTTTAAATACTAATTACAATGTCATATAATTGAACTAAGGAAAGTATCACCAATATTAAAGCATAAGTGGCAAGCAAGAACACGTAACGAAACCCAAGTAGTGGGAAAAGTCACTGCTTGATGTCACACAATGGAGAAAAAGGGTAATGAGAAGGACGAAGAACTCCATTTAAACATCCAGTCCGAAGAACTTGGTCGTGCTCAAAATGTCTTCCACAAGGGCACAACATATTAACACACAGGGCTGGAAACAAAAGCTCAGATCCATAGAACTTCAATGGAGCTCCAGATTTCCACCAAACCATGAAGAAGAAATGGTTCCCAGATCTAGCAATCCCTTAAGATCTCCACCAACCCAAAGGAAAACCCGGACGATCCTAAAAATGGGGAAAGATCCAACAAGTTCTACTTTTACTCTGCACACTTGCTCCATGGATTCAAAAATCGAAACTTTAAGAGCTCAGTTGCAGAAAACCAGACACGTGCAGAACAGAGAATCAGATCTCCGCCAGGAACCTCTACCCAATAAAAACAACCGACAGAATCAGCTAAACATAACAATTAGGCTCTTCCCAGTAAAATTTGGCCACTGGGAACGCTCTGAAAACATCTCTAATCACTTACACTAATTAAAACTCTGACCAACTCCCAGTTCACAAAACTGAATAAACCCAACACAAAGCTGAGATCTAAGACAGAGGCGAGAGCTCTATTTACCCTCGGAAATGGCGTTCTGAATCTCGGCGCATTTGGCGACGACGCTGTGGTCATTCACCCCCTCTTCCTCCTCAATCAGAGAGTCGTTGTACCCATTCTTGTTTGCCGCATCCCTGCCGCCGGCGGGAGACAGCTTGACGGACGAGACCAGCACCCACTGGAACAGAGCGAAGGCGATTCCGATGACCCCGCATACCGGAATCAGTATCTGGGTGCCGAGATCTGGCAGGAGCGACGAACCCATATCAGAGAAAATGGATAGAATTCCCGCCGCCCGAGATTCAGGGTAACCGACGAGAAAGGAGGAGGCAGCGAAAGGTTTATCTCTGCCGCTGGGCTCTCTCTCTCTCTCTCTCTCTCCAGAGGGAATGGAAGAGTAGAGAAGGAGAGGAAATGGGGAGTGCTGGTGGGTAAGCCGAAAATCAAGGTTTTATATCCGCCGAGCCGGGAAATTGCAAAACAAGCGAAAAAATTAATTAAAATCTATAAAATTTAGGAAATTTATTTAACAAATAAAAAAAGGGGGGAAATTTTTAATTTTTTTTTTGTTGGGGCATTTTAATTGTTAGGTATTTTATTGGTGGCTCGTAATCCCTTTATTATGAAAAGGATTAAAAGAAATACTCTCTAGTCTCTACGTTGACTGTTGTCCACGTTTGTTCAATCGGTTATTACGAATTAAAAGATTTAATTCGTTTAAATCGAACATAAATGAAATCAAATTGAAAGTATATTTGATCTGATACGACCAGATCCAGAATTCTGGTTGGATATGTTTGTGCCTCGAATCATTCGATCCTGTCTAACCCGGGTTTAAGTTGATACAACGAAGGTTGCTACATAAATGAATACCAAACTTGCAAGGCCCTTTATAGCATAATATAGATCTATGAATAAGTTAGGCCAATGGATCAATGTGTACTTTGATGTATTGGGTAGCTTTGATAACGTGGATCACTAGTTGGTGCAAATAACGCTGAGTTATACATACTAGTACCTCGAAGAAGACGATTAATCAATTTTTCAGGTCAGATCCAAATTTACGGGGTCATGATATCTTTAATACCGATTCGATGAAAAAAATTGTTTCTCAACAATATTTAGTAGTGGAAAAAATTAACATAAAAACTGAATGTGACAATCGACAAGTAGGTGAAGATCGAATCAGGCAATAATTTCGTATCTTAAATTGCCTTGCAATTTCGAGGTTTCAAAGTAATTTTTGAATAACAAACTTAGATTGATGAAAATAAGAAACAAAAGATTTGGTGTTCTTCATTATCTAATCAAAATTTGGAATGGAGGAAAAGAAGGATGAAGGGGGAGATTAGGTGATGTAAAAATAAACGAATTGGATAAGGTTGGATTGAACGCTAATGTTTTGGTCCTAGAATTTAGTGGAACTCATTAAATGGGGATTATTTCGTTAATTAATCGGCTGTTATTAAGAGGCAAGTAATGTGTGGATTTTGTACAGTTTTATGGAGAAATGGTATCTTGATAGTTGATAGTCTTACACTGAAGTGTGGACAAGGTTGTGTAATAGTTTAGGATTATGTCAATCTATTTTATTTAGTATTTTGTCATCACTAAGTTCTTCTTCGACGAGGACGAGATCAAAGAAAGTCGTTCGCACTAAGTCAATTCGAAGTATTATTTGGGACGGAAAATCATCACGAAGATTCATGTCAATCTTTTTCCTTCGTCATCGATCCTACAAAGTTATCATTCATTTCGACTTTCATTCTGATGCAACATGTTTTATCTTTCACTAGTTTGTTGGGATCCGAGAAATTGAAGAGTTGGTCTCGCTCCGGGCTTTTGTTGTGTTGCCTCGCCACTACGATTAGATCCTTAGGTTCATCTCCCTAGCTAACGCCAATCTAAGGTTACTAATTCTTCACCACTGCCCATACTGCTCACCCAGACTTCACGTCGTTCGTTCTCGAGGGAGAAAAACTCTAGCTCCAGTTGAGGGTAAAATCCCAAACCCCCGGAAACGAATTTCATGTTTTATGTTCCACCAAAAAACCCTAACTATCATTATTATGTTTTTTTAACAATTTTATATTCAATATGATTTATTAAACACCGCAAAAGTTTTTAAACAAATCCAGCGTCCCACCACATAATGAAAAATAAAATCCAACAAAAACCTGTCATCTCGTTAAATTAACAAACCAAACCCTATTTCGATAATTATAAAATCAAAATTAACCAAACCCTATAAAATTACTATATGATGTATTTTTAAATTTCTTCTAGCAACTTGAATTATCAAACTTTTTTTTCCCCGTTGAATACCGCTAAACCTGTTGTGCCAAGACAAGTTATAATTATCAAACATTTTGATTAGACGCTTGATATCAAACCTTCTAACCAAGAAATATATGGTGTATGAATCTTTACGACCCACATCTACTAGGATTCAAAACCTTACGCAATAAGAAGATCACACATTTCGGTTGACCGAAGACAAGTCTTCATGTTTTGCCATATACATTGTATTTTTGTTTAATTAATGTTTAACCACAATTCACTTAACATTTTCCTTTTGTCCGTACTCCGTAATTAATGTTTAATGTATTATGTAAATATTTATATTTGGATGACCAATGACCTACCACATTAGATGCTCACTTGGGAGTTACATGTAACTCCCATTCCTATATTATTATCTCTAATTCATATGCATTGATGTAATGGTTACCAAAGGGTGCCTATAAATAGAGCACACTATTGTATCACAAATGGGATATGAATAAGAAGAATTATTCCCCTCACTTCTCTTGTGTCTTTCCTCCTCCAATCTTCTCTTATAGTTGCTTACATTTCCACTAGTTTTATAACACGTTATCAGCACGAGACTCTTCCTTTTGAAAAGGTTAAATCCATATTTGTTCTGCTCAAGGTATGTCAATTCTCCCAAATTGTTTCTTTTATTGTCCTATTTCAATTTACATAATTTCCTTTATTAATCAACACATGAAATCTTTGTTTGAGAATGCAAAGGTATAATTTCCTTCTTAATATATTATTTTATTTGTGAAATTCGAATTTATTTATATATTTGTAAAAATATCAAATTGATATATCATGGGTCACATAAGTTGTTTGTCTTGACAGTAATCTATATTTATTTATTGAATTTTAACTTTAATTTGTGTATATTTTTATGATAGTATGTCGAATCTTTCAAAGCTTGAGTTTGTGGCTCTTGATGTCACTGGAAAGAATTACCTATCATGGGTGCTAGATGCTGAAATTCATTTAGCTGCCAACGGTCTTGGAGACACGATTAAAGAGGGCAATGAAGCATCAGATCAAGACAAAGCTAAAACAATGATCTTTCTTCGACATCACCTCCACGAGGGATTGAAGAATGAGTATCTTACGATCAAAGATCCACTTGTTTTGTGGACTAATTTGAAGGAGCGGTATGACCACCAAAAAACTGTGATTCTTCCTAAGGCTCGTTATGATTGGATGCATTTGAGGTTACAAGATTTTAAATCTGTGAGTGATTATAATTCAGAGCTATTCAAAATAACCTCACAACTACTGTTATGTGGAGAAAATATTACTGATGAAGATATGTTGGAAAAAACATTCTCCACTTTTCATGCATCCAATGTGCTCCTGCAGCAGCAATACCGTGAGAAAGGTTTCAAGAAATATTCTGAGCTGATTTCTTGTCTCCTTGTTGCTGAACAAAATAATGAGCTCCTAATGAAAAATCACCAATCTCGTCCTACTGGTGCCGCCCCATTCCCAGAAGCGAATGCGGCGACGTTCACCCAATATCCTTATGGGCAAAGACATGGACGCGGACATGGACGAGGACGTGGGCGTGGTCATGCTCGAGGCCGTGGCCGTGGCCGAGATCTTGGTCGTGGTAATGGCCGTGGTGAAAGTTCCAAAGGCTCATTTTTCCCCAGAAGTGAAAAAAATGATGGTAGAAGAAGCAAGGAACAAAGTGTTCATGGTAACAAACACGTCGAAAATGTGTGTTACCGTTGTGGTGGAAAAGGTCATTGGTCTCGTACCTGTCGTACGCCAAAACACTTGGTTAACCTCTACCAAGAATCATTGAAAGGGAAGAAGATAGAAACCAATTGTATTTTTGAGGAAGATGATCCAGGAAAAGACTATAATGATGCTACTCATCTAGATGTGTCAGACTTCTTTGCCCACCCTGAAGGAAAAATAGATCACCTGATTGGTGATGGAAATGTTCGCAAGTGAAAAACTTAGCATTTTCATTTGAAATTTCTATTTCGTTGTCGCTTTGTTCACAAGTGAAAAATGTAGGTTTCCCATTTGAAATTTCACCTTCTTTGTCGTTTTCCTTAAGTGTGTTTTTCCTATTAATTTGTCAGTTTAATATAATTTCTCTTTATAATCCTTATGTGGTTAAATTTCATCCATTATAATCATGTCATTATTTTTATATTTATTTGGAGATATTTTCTTATATTGATTTACTTTCTATCTTTTGTGAAGAATGAATATTCCCATGCTTGGCACCAAGATCAAAAACCATGATGTGTGTCTTATTGATAGTGCATCGACACATACAATCTTGAAGGATAAGAAATATTTTTCTCATCTTGAAATGCGAGAAGCAAATGTTAGTACTATATCTGGAAGTACAAATCTAATTGAAGGCTCCGGAAGAGCTAGTGTATTGTTACCAGAAGGAACCAAGTTGTATATCAATGAAGCCTTATACTCTTCAAAGTCTCAAAGAAATTTATTGAGTTACAAAGATATTCGCCGAAATGGATATCATATTGAGACAAAGGAAGAAGAGAATAAAGAGTATATTATGATAACAAATATGGTCTCCGATAAAAAATACATATTGGAGAAATTGCCTGCTATTTCTTCTGGGTTGTACTACACGTTTATTAGTACAATTGAAACACATGCAGTGGTAAACCAGAAGTTTACAAATCTTGATAATTTTATAGTTTGGCATGAGCGGTTAGGCCATCCCGGATTGATTATGATGCGGAAAATCATTGCCAATACATGTGGACATCCAATGAAAGGTCACAAAATTTATCAGTTTAAAGATGTACCATGTGTTGCATGTTCTCGTGGCAAGTTGATTATACGGCCATCACCTGTGAAAGTAAGGAGTGAATCTCTCACATTTTTAGAACGTATACAGGGTGATATATGCGGGCCAATTCACCCACCATGTGGACCATTTAGATATTTTATGGTTTTAGTTGATGCATCAACTAGATGGTCACATGTGTGCTTACTATCAACTCGCAACCTGGCGTTTGCTAGATTACTTGCCCAATTGATACGACTACGAGCACATTTTCCTGATTTTCCAATCAAGAAAATACGTCTAGATAATGCTGGTGAATTTACTTCACAAACTTTCAA